AAGAGAAGATAACTCTGCAATACGCAAAGACGGAATATCCAATGTTCCTCCAGTTTAACTCAACGCTCCTCATTATCTGTTGCCCATGCTACTATTCTATGTATTGATTGTTCTTGGTTTAAAAAGAGTTTTTCTCATGTCCGTTTAAGAAAACATCAATATTTATTCATTGAATCATTTCCTCAGGAAATTGAAACCCTCTCACAATTGGATATAATTCGTTTAATCCGAGTGGTATTCCCAGTGAAGTTTCGTTATTCGTGAGATATTTGAAAGACTTGGTACCTGGGTTTTTTGCCTTGTGTTGTATATTTTGATTCGATGTGATCTATAATACGTAGTTAAAGAAGAAACCACATATGATTTGTAAAAACAGTAAACAACATCTTGAATGAGGTTGAGTAAATGTTCCCCTAAAAATGTGTTTGTCGAAACTTAAATTGTCATCTTCGGTGTCTTTACTCACTCGTAAATTTTCCAATAGATATAATAAGTTCTCAGCCACTTTATAATTGCAAACTCACATCATTTTTACATTTTCCAGATAGAATAGAAATTACCAACCCATTTTGAGAAAACATGCATCTCTTTGTAAATGTTTGCAATCATTTTCTTGTCTGATAAATTTTGATAGGGTGCGTCATATATGGTTAGTCGCCAACATGTGATTCATAAAAAGCTGACGTTTTGTCTATTAACGGTCTGAAGGCTCGTGTATGCGATTTAATATCGGTACAAGACATAATTTAACCTCTCGTGAACTGGACAACTGCATGTACTATGTATGAGTTGTTTCTACCAACATTTGCCTTTCCACATCAGAAGTACGTGTATTACGTTGTATTGTTAACTAGAGGAGAATAAAACACCTTGGCTTGGAATGGTATTGTATTTACATTGATGTGGTATATTGTTATCAGGGAGCTGTCTGGAGAAGAGGTTCCCCCTCAGTGGAAAGGGGGTTTAAACATCACGTATAGACTCGGAGGAGTATTACAGACGGACGGCTGGTAAGTTTCATTCAACTGCTCTATTTTTCAGCTGTAAATTATTTTTGCGAGTCCAGGACAAGATGAGTTTAATTTATATGAGTCTCAAGCAATTTATGGAGCATATCTATCTTATTCAGAATTCCAATTTTGCTTTGTGAAAATGGTTGTTATACTTCAGTAATACACGGCATGATATGTAAGCTAACTTTAACAGATTGATGTTTGACTTTAAATATTATATCTGTTAAACTTGAACTAAAAAAAAGCAGTAAAGGACGGAATATTGGATTAGAAGCTGATTGGTTACTGTACATGTGACTATGTGTTTGCAGGAAAATACGGATGTTTATTTCAACACAGAGTTACATGAGGCGGATTCATAACGTGTTCGGAGTAATACGAGGAGCCATAGAACCAGGTAAGGTCTTCCAAACATCATCTATGGTTTTAGGAGTTCAATGACATTACTTATGACAAATAACATCGTTAACACATAGCTGGACGTCAATAGTTTTCTATTAATATGCTATTCTTTATTACAGACCGGTACGTGTTGATTGGTAACCACAGAGACGCATGGGTGTTTGGCGCCATTGACCCTTCAAGTGCCACGGCCGTCATGAAAGAAGCATCGAGAGTAATGGGAAACCTGGTGAAACAAGGTAACACACGTACTTACTCATCTCCATGGTGATGGGTACGTAAAAAGGCAACTCTAGTAACTACACGTCTCTATGGTAAGGGAAACGTGATAAAATAAGGTACATATAACCCTTGTAACTACATGTCTCGATGGTAA